CTGGAGCCCCCCAGCACTGACACCATAACCTGGAGCCCCCCAGCACTGACACCGTAACCGGGAGCCCCCCAGCACTGACACCACACAACAGAGCCAAAGCACTGAGTGACTTGCCCTGGGTCACTACAAACAGCCGTGAGGAGCCAGGTGGGCAGGAGGCTTTCTTGTTCCCCAAGACTACTGTGCAGTCCTTGGCTCCGGAGGCCACCAGCTACCGCACAGATGGCCTGGCTCACAAGCTGACTCAGCTGTCTGGGGTTCCAGACTTCACCTACCAGCGGATACCAGCAGATACAGCGAGGGGCCAATTTCAGAGCTTTCTCTGAAGTCCTCTAGTTACAGATAAATATTCTTTTTCACATTAAAAGAACAAGATATTTCAAAACCATCTTTTACATAGTGACATAATTATTATCAGACATAATGTTGAAAAGCTATATGTTCACTGCCCTTTCATTTTCCTTCAACTTTTCTCTATTATTTAATTGGAGAGTGTCACCCATTATTTTTTTACCCTCTCTTCAGAAAAACAAACCTTTGATTTTTATTATTTTAGTCGTTTTATTTTCTATTCTACAACTTTTTATTTGAATTCCTCCCCCTGTCCCCCGGTTCCAAATATACCCACCTACAGAGCTAGAGCCATGTTCCCCGTCCTCCCTTCATACCTACGTCTAGTTCTGAGATGCTGGGATGAGCCCCTGGCGTTAGTGACTACGGCCAAGTCCGACAAGCCGCCAGGGAGGATTGCTTTAATTGCCTCCTGAGATATGCTTGTTTTTCCATTAAGAAGGAGCCCTGTGATATTTCCCTTTTTCGTAGGGGTCCCGGTTTTAAAACAATAGGACTACTCTGGGGAATTCTGGGAAAGAACTGTTCTCCACGATTCTTAACTAGAGCCTGGGGAGCATCTTAGCACCATACATTTATTTTCCTTTTCCCCCCAGTAAAACAATGACACAGATCAATTTATTAACCCACAAGATGCTGCCATCATATTTTGAAGACTCTCTGAAATTTTCACGAACACATACCAGTTCTAACAGCACATAGATAGTTTTTCACATACTCTATAATCCCTTTAAATCAGGATGGATGTTCTCTGGTTACTATATACTTTTTATAATTTTTCAATAAACTGATTGAAAGGAGAAGAGAAAATCTTTGGAACATGCTGCTGCTGCTGCTGCTGCTTTTTCTTTTCTTGTTTTTTGGTTGGGGGGAGGGAAAGGTATGGCGGCATGCAGAAGGGTAATTTTTCAAGTGTATTTTCCAGAGCCTGGATTCCTAGAAAGCACCCTGGAAATTGAAGCTAGTGCTGAAGGCAGCCTGGAGCCCAGCATTTCCTGGGGCGCACGGGGCTACACCCTGATACTTATGAGAATCTAGTGTCTGGGGCCTGTTTCTCCAGCTAGGTCATGAGGTCAGCTCAGGCCCCCTGCATATTTAACCTAAGGGAAAGAAGGCCTTTGTTCTCTGGAATTCTCTTCCTTCCAGAATCACACAGAACTGGTCCCTTAGATCTTCAAGGCTGCTGCCCCATCTTTTAAGATAACTAACAATGTTCACTAGGGGCTGCAGTGAGTGCTTTTGCTTTTAAGTCTCCTGAGCATTAGAGCATGCTGCTGTGGAAACCTTCCCTGACACAGGCCCGGCAGACACCTGGAGCTCTTGCTCCGCCGTGTCACCCTCCAGGGACTTCACACGCATCCACTCATCTGACACCCCCAACCCTAGAGGTGGGTACCATTGGCAACATCCCTACTGCAGGACATAGGGGTTTGGTGAGTGCCAGGGGAGGCAGCAGCTCATCAGCTGTGGAGTTGGGAATGGCCCCCAGGCAGCCTGCCTTCAGACTGTGGGCCAGTAACCATTATGCAGCCTTGCTTTTAGGAAGGGGCCTCTGCACATACACTCAGCACCTTGGCGCTGCATTAAAAGGAGGGCATCTTCAGGGAAGGCAACCTGAACAACAAACAGCGAGTGCTACCCATGGTTGCACAGGCAAGGCACATGTATTTACATTGGGTCCTGAGCCCAGGTTGCCCCATGGGATTTGTGCTTCCTTTTCTCCTCTGGACACCTGATCATATTGCTTCTCCTTTGCACTGGGCTCCTGCTCTTCAGAGCAAAGTGGGAGGGGGGGGAGGGGTCTCCTTCCTAGGAACCAGGCTCCCAACACAACACTGTTAGTCTCAGTTAAGAGCAAGGAGAAAGCACAACCAGAGACAAATACTGGAACTTAGGAGCACCTGCACTACCGACTTGCAGTCTGATCCTGGGAAGCTGAGTGCAGTGAGCAAGTGTCCCGTTCAGACCTCATGTCATGGGTTATAGAGAGACTTTGGGTAAGTTCTTTAAGCTCTTTGTGCCTCTGTTTCCCATTGGTAATAGTTGCCTATCTCATAGGTGTGTTTTCCTATGAGGCTCGGAATGATTAAGACATACAAATTGGCACATAGGAAGCACACACTCAATAACGATTCCCTTTGCTAACCATGTGCAGCTGTTTCTGCTACAAAGCTTTTCAAGCGACAATGAGCAGCCCCTTTTACTGAACTGACTATCCCTGGGAAGAATGGGTACAAATGGGCAAGGAGACAGGATTCTTGAGCATGGCGCACAAATAGGGGAGGAGCTGAACTTGCCACAGTTAAGAAAGGCATTTTAATGCATATAGTTAAGGATCCAGGAATTATTTTCTGAGTAATAGCTATTAAAGCCAGTGGGAAGAAAGAAGTTAATAAGTAGGAGATCCATTGTTGAGCATCACCAATCACATGCCTGTTGAATCATACTATTAATAGCTTTCTAGTAAAACAACTCAGAAGTATTTTGTCTGTTTAGATTTAGAATCCACAGCCCAGGGACATGAAATAAATTGACAAGTGAGTCCCATTGTCTCCCAACACAATACTCTAGCTCAGTGGTTCCAAAACTCTGTCATCAAGTGGGAATTCAGACTCTGAGGCTCCACCCCAGCAAGTCTGACCAGAATGTCTGCGGATGAGAAGTCTGCATTTTGAACCAGCCTTTGCAGGTGAGCACAGGGGTCCATGGACCGCACTCTGAGAAGCACTGCTAGGCAATCAATGCGCTTGGTCCCATTCAAGGATCAGAGAGCAAAGAGACTTAGGTGAGTTTGCAGCATCTAAGTTAGAGCAGTGGTTCTCAACCTTCCTAATGCTGCGACCCCTTAATACAGTTCCTCATGTTATGGTGACCCCCCAATTTCATTGTTACAAATTGAACATAATTAAAGCGTAGTGATTAATCACAGAAACAATATGTAATTATAATGTGTTTTCTGATGGTCTTAGGCGACCCCTGTGAAAGGGTCATTCAACCCCCAAAGGGGTCGCGACCCACAGGTTGAGAACCGCTGTCAGTTAGAGGAAGGCAGAGAGGTATATTACAAGCTAGGAATATTCTCTTCCTGCTCAAAGTGTGGAGACAGGGCTCTAGATTTGTGAGACCTCGCAGAGCTGCATTTAGGACCCAGGTATTCGGACATGAAGCTGTGTCCACCAATTTTAGGGTCAGTCCTAGATAAGATTCCCGGGACTCTCGCCATCCTCAGGAAGGAAAACGCTGATATCACCAACAGTGATTCCAGGGGACCAGAGGGTGTGGGAGTCAACAGGATTCAGTGCTTTCCTTTCTAGAAACCCTGTCCTTTTTTTTGAGGATATGCGTTTTGCTCTGCCTTATAAATATGACCCAAGTCCCATGAGGTCATATGAGCATAAGGACCTGTAAGGCTCAAATATCCAGCATACTTGATCTTCTTACATCAGGACATGTAGAAAGGAAGAAACAGACCTGAGGTTTAAGAAAACCTTGGCCTGGAATGTTCTGGTCAAAGTCTCTGACTTCCTTTCTGACTTTCCAATCCCTGAACTGGAGCAGAAGGCTGCAGGAAAGTAAGGCTAAAGGTTCTTTTCCAAGTCAGGGTAGTTCTTCCTCTCTCACAGCCTTTAACATCTCTGCTTTATGCGAGGACAGAACCATGTGAAAATAACGGAATTTCAATCAAACTGCAAATACAGCTTTCCATTGGCCTTTGTGCGCACTCTACCCAGAGTAGGGACCCTGAGGGGAGGGGGCACTCCCAGCAGGAGCCCCCTGAGAAGTCAGGTGTGACAGAAATCATGTTCCAACAGCGAATAGAGAGGATGGGGTCTAGGACATCTAGGAAGTTCCCTCCATGTTCCAAACCAGTTTAAACGTTATGTCCTCAACTGAAGAGACCCACCAAACCTGTGGCGGTGTAGCCATGCTCCGTAAAGCTCGGTAGAAGTGGCTCCTATGATCTAACCACAATTATAAAATCCCGTAGTGCCGTCCCCAGTGCAATGACAATCACGACAGAGCTGCCCGGAATGGCAAGGCTGCTGGGGTGGGGGCACACAGTAAACGGGTCACATGGGGGAACCTTAGCAGCTCCCACGGTGCCTCTGCCAGGACCAAACCAAGTGTCCAGCCATCGTGTCCCCCATCGGAAAGGTTAAAACGAAATACAGAGTTGCTAGTGGTCCTCCTCGCCCCGCCCATTCCCCCCAAAGACTCTCAGAGGAAGAAGCAAACTCTGCCAAGGACAGTACAGTACCTAGACACTAGCTTCTGAGCTCCATAAACACGTTTCTCCCGGTACCCAGGCGCCGCATTGCCACGTGACTGGCAGCCTTCCCTGGCTTCCAAGGCCAGGGCTTTGCCTAACCTTAGGAAAAGGATGCCAAGGCTACGTTGTACATGATTGGTTCCCGTGGAAGGGCCAACACTTGTACAGCACAAATGGATGGTGGGAAGGCAAACCCGAGAAGTTCCTTGAGGGGGAAAGCGAGCTTTCTCAGAATCTGGGCTCGGCAGGGGCTATCGGGGACACCCGGGGACACACACACACGCACACACACACGCTCAGGTGGGCACGCAGTGGGCGTCCCAACCACACTCCCGCGCGGCGCGCGAATCAAAGCCCGTGACCGGGAGCCAGGACTTACCGCCAGGACGCTCTGGGCCAGGAGCCCCGCTGTCACGGCCCCCAGCAGTAGCCACCTGGGAGGGAGAGGGAGGAAAAGCGCCGTGAGCGTGCGCCAGGATTTGGCAACTCCTGAAAGTGACTCGGGGACGAGGCAGAAAGTCGCTTACCGCCGCAGGGCAGGGCCCGACGCCCGGCACTGGTCTCGGTCCATGATCCCGGTCCAGCCTCTCTGGGCTCGGGTCGGTCCCTCCTAGCGTGCAAGGAGAGACAAAGCGGGCTGAGCGGGGTCCGGGGAGGGAAGCATCCTAGCCGCCTCCGCCGCCGCCTGAGACGCGGGAGAGTGGGGTGCGCCCCCACCTCTGTGCTGGGGTGACGGAGATAGAAGAACCAGGGGCCGTCCCATCTAGGCCCCGGTTGGTGCTGCTAAGCCGCGGCCGCTCGATCCCCAGCCTCCCCTTCCATTCCTAACAGCCTGCACAGGGCGCCCCAAGTGCGTGGCTTCGGCCTGGGTCTCCCCGTCCCGGGGTTGCTCTCACCTCCGGCCCGGCTTCCG